CCTTGGCTGAGAACTTGTTTTGTACAGTAGAGAAAAAATGTAAAATGTTTATGCTGGGTCAGTAATATTATTGCCAGACCTCAACGTGGGAAGATAAAATGTATGTGGATTACTACCCGGAACGTATAAACAAAGCATAACTAAAGCCAAAATATTATTTAAATAACAGGGCCAAATTCCTCTTTACCACATGCAAACCCTTGTGGTCTGGCATTTGTCGATTTTGTCAATTTTGTAAAACGCATTACGTAGGTTTCGTGGATAACAATGAGACTATATTTTACTCGGTTGACCATATATTAGTGTTATGAATACTGAATAGCTGGGAGATATAATTTATATTTTTGATCGCAATGATATTGTGATTGAGAAACTATTTGGGTGCTTGTTGTGAATTAACTTTAACGCAACCGAGAATCGAGTTTTSGTTCATTTATATAGACCCCCTCGGTGGGGTTCTGTTCTTGGTGGTAATATGAGAATTGATGTGTTCAAATGAGAGAAAATTAAAGAGAGAGAGAGAGAATGAATGAAAAATAAAAAATGGATGGATGGATGGATGGATGGATGGATGGATGGATGGATGGATGGATGGATGGATGGATGAAAAATGAGACGAAAATGGCAGTTGAATGATCCATGAAAACTTCTTAAGAAGAAAGACTATATAATAACCGATAGGCGATAGGTAAAAGGACGGATATAAGGGAGAAGTCTTAAGGAAACTATGAACTGACGAGATATCAAGCAAGAAAATAATCAATAAGTTAAACAAACCTTTGTCTCCATCTTTTTCTTCTTGTCAGGTAACAAGTAAATTTTCACATAAGGATCAGACGAGCCACTAAAATCCTTGGCTGGAATATCCTCAGCTTTTATTATTCCAATGGTCAACGTGTTGTCATTAAAACTGTAGTCGAGAGTGAAGTTTATTCGACCTGAAGAGAGAGAAAAACAGCACATTAAGAAAGGAGATATGTAGGAGGTGTATGAGGCAAGCAGGCAAGCAGGCAAGCAAGCAAGCAGGCACGCAGGCAAGCAGGCACGCAGACAAGACAAGCAAACAAAACAGCAATCAAGCAAACAATAAAGGAAGCAAGGAGGCAGGCAAACACGCAAGCTGGCAAAAGCGCAATCAGACAAACACGCAAGCAAGCAAGGAAACAAGAGAAAAGACAGGCATGCAAACAAGGAAGCAAGGAAGCAAGCAAGGAGACAGGCAGGCAAACGAGGAAGCAAGCAAACAATTGATTGAAGGAAGAAAGAAAGAAAGCAACCAATTGCATCAGCTTTGTTGATTTAGATAACCAGAAATAAAAGTTCACAGACAATATTATCCTACCTATTTTTACTCCGGAACTAACGTCAGAATGATAGTCTTCACTATTGTAATCCAATTCATCCATAGATGGCTGTACTTTTTCTTGATAACTGGCGCCTATCTTCACAGCCTGAAGATCCACTCTTTCTTTGCCATTTTTCTTGTCTTTGTCCTTTTTATCTTTCTTTCCACATTTCCGACAACAGCAACAATATATACAGAATATTATGACGAGGGCTGCTACGAGTCCAGCTACTGCTATAATCCATATGGGCACTATGAACAGAACAGAAAAGGTGTTAAAAAATCTCTTACGGATTAATACGTGATGGTAGTGCAGATGGATGGACAGCCTGTGAAATATAGAGAGCTGCTATGAGTCCAGTTACTGTAATGACTCTATACAGTAAATAAAATGGGAACACAAACAGAAAGACGTTTAAAAAAATATCTGAGGGACAAATGAYGGAAGAGTAGATGGATGGAAAAAAGGACAGCGTGTCGGTTATGATAAATTACTATCGTTTAAAGCAGTTCAACTCGTACAGAAAATTGTTCCAGTTAAGTTTTTGAACGAATTTTATTTCTTGTCTCTTTACGTTTCGAGCAGCTTCTATAAAAAAAACTCAAAAACAAGTAAAACGATTTTTTTATTATTCGGAAAAAAAGGAAGGAAGGAAGGAAGGAAGGAAGGAAGGAAGGAAGGAAGGAAGGAAGGAAGGATGGAAGAAAGAAATAAAGAAAGGAAGAAAGAAAGGAAGAAAGAAAGAAATAGAAGGTGAGTAAGAGAAAAAATATACACTGGCACCCACCAGGTACGTAGCATTAGATTAGTATGAAATCCCTCTTAAAGCTACCCCTTTTAGTACATTTTCCAAGTCAGTTTTTCTATAATCTTCAATGACAAAACAGCAAAGGCCATTGGAAGTCCGCAAGACTCGGAGGCGTTCTAATGACGGCGTGTAATATAAGAAAGTAATTAGTAAACCCCTTGAAACGTCAGTTAGCAAAAAGAGCTTGCTAATATCATCCCCAAGAATAGCAAGTTAATGAAATTCAGCCCTAGCGGCTAATTTTCTCTCAATTCTTACGGTTTAGTGAATAAAAACAACTACATTTTCATATCTTAATAATATTCATCGATCGTTCGACTTCGTTCGCTATCTCAAGTACGATAGCAACGACAGCCCTAACCAAATTCATTCTGCTGACAACTATCAATAAGACTTATATACCACTCTTTCAAAAACAAAAACGATTTATCATACATTAAAAACAAACTCAGAATCTTTATAAAATCGCTGGAATATAACACTTGAATTTTCATCCATGAGTTTTTCGTCAAAGAAGAAAAATTCCTGAATTTCTAGACGCAAAGTCGATATTCCTTACTTCATTAATTCAATATCAATCAGATTTTTTGGTCTTAGACAACGAAATGTTTTAACGTCGCATTACCAGGAATATTGATAACATAAATAAATGCTCTTTTCGATAAAATTTGTAATACATGGAAGTTTTAGAGAAARATATGAAGGACAATTTTTAGCGAGTTTGGTGATGGATTTGACCAAAACAAATTTATGARATATTTTTAACATTCGTCATTTTGCTTTCCGTATTTTTTTTAGTCTACTTCATGACCGTGGTTCCTGACTATAAATTTACAAGCGATAAAAAAGACTTCGGCAGAAGAAGATATATATTGGTAAAAGCTGATATATATTTACAAGTATTTTTTGACATGTTTTTTTATTTGAGATTTACTAAGAAAACTAACTAACCTTTTTTCAGAGACTCTTTGGCCGATTCAAGGCTCATCTTTCTTCTCGAAGATCAAAAAATAAATAAATAAATCAAGAATCGAATATTCTGTCGATCGTAGACCACCTCTCATTTATCATTAATACCTTTTCTTTCTTCGTGAAATATGGAACGTTCAGTGTGGGAATAAAATTAACCATACGTAATGAATTCCCAGAATTCCATGGAATTTGAATATGGAATTGCAAAACAGGGTTTTAAAAAGACTTCACACCGCAAATAAACCACACGGATTCAACTCCTACTCGTAGCCTTTTTGATGKACATATTCTCTATTAGGAAAATTAGCCCTTTTTCGCTGCCGATACGACAGCTGTAAAATGAAATATTATTTCCTTTCACATGAGCCAGCCCGGCTCGGAACGAGTTAYATGATTGGATTAAAAAACAATAGATTGGTCATYCARACAATAGCACTAAACCTAACCTTACAAAACCGGTACTGTACTTAGGAAGCAATGAAAATGGAWTCCTGTTTTTTAAAATAATTCCAATATAATATGAGAACTACTTGTAAACTAAGACAATGATAAATTTGAAATTAATTTTGAAATATTTAAAAAAAAGGATTTGTTTATTTTTTAAATATACGGAGCTGTCGTTAAGCGAAATAGAGTTAACGTCATGATATGATCGTGTCTTACAAGGAGATTTTTTTCTTCCTCGGCGTGAATGATTTATCAACCAATCGCAAGTGGTATCAATAGTTTATTCGCCTCTCACCCTCTGGGGTCTCAAATTCGATTCCTAGACTCAGCATCACATGGCAGTAGATTTTGTTAAGGCCCGTTTACACTAGCGATTTTTGGCGGCGATTTTTGCTGCGATTTTTTTGAGATTTTGTCCATAATAAATAATAGTAAAGAATTTACTTGTAMAGTTTATTTCAGGATACCAAGATTTTCCTAGACGAATGTCTCTTTTGAAGGGTGAGACAAAAGAYYTCAYATTTCCGAAAAGTGCCACAAAAATCGCGCTGCAAATCGCCGCAAAAATCGCTAGTGTAAACGGGGCTTACACAGGCGATTTTTTCGGCGATTTGCAGCGCGATTTCCACYGCGATTCTTGCGGCGATTCACGTGCGATCATAATTCGCTCGAAAAACAAGAAAATATCTAGAAAATACCTTTTATAAATAGCATTGGCGGGAAAAATCAAAATGACAAGCTAAATTGATTCATTTTGAATAATGAATAGCGCGCCTTTTAAACGCGCSAAATAGTCGACGTGACAATGTAGTGGACGTTGATTCTTAACAATTAAAATTTTTTCCTTTCCACAACATTGCCGGGAGACAAAATAAGGCATACGGAATTCCAATTGAATGACATGGAAACAACTTGCGGATTGACGTTGACAAATCCGTTTTGTTAAAACCGTAACCTTGATCGATTGCCTCTCGGAAGTTAAAGAAGAGACTGGTAATGATGTCGCATCGCATAGCATTGTGGGKCTGAGCTTTAGACGCGTGATGCAATGCAACTGTTGCGCGCAGCTATACTTAAGTTTCATCGTTTGAACACGCGCAAAACGTTGATAGCAATGGTGTGATGTTTTCAGCCAAAAAAAATCGTCTTCTCTCTACTACTGGCTTTGATTTGAGGGGAAAATATATATTCTTATGAAACGCAAAATTAAGATTTTTTTGTCAAAGTGAAATTTTATCCATATTTATGTGACTGCATGAGACAAATAAAAGATACTTTAGGGAATGACAAAAGCTAAGTCATCTTTTGCTGGTTGTGCTCTCATAYAACTCCATTACATTTTCTGGTGAATTTTATATCAACAGCTAAATGACAAGTTTTCAATACAAATGTACAATGATATTTCAATAAAGTTAGTCACCAAAAAACCTAGAAAGCTGAGATCACTGAGGATCATGGAAAACTTTTAATATCAAACAAGTAAAGCTTTTGATACGATTTGCAGCTTGAGGATGCTCAGAAGAGGTGAGACTGTAACTGGTAAAAGATCTAAAATCCATCAACAGTTATTAAAGCGGTTGAAACATGTAAAATGTAACTACCCATAATCCTTGTTGGTCTCAGCTTTGTARCTTTTCAGGCGACTAATTTTATTGAAATAAGTGTATGGATGATTTAGCATAAAGGACTTGAAGACTACTGATACCACACAATACACCGTTCTCATAATGGCTGARAAGGGCACGAAAATAACGAGGTCGGCAGCCAGTCATTTAGTTCACAATACAAGATATAAAAGTACATTAAATGACTTTATAAGAGAAAAGTATAGAAATTTACCTATTGTTTTGACCTGTAWTCGCACTATCCACCTTTATTCTGAATGAGCAGCCTTGCTCAGCCTTACAAGATGACTGGGTGACCTCATTTTTGTTCCGTCGTCAGCCATTATGAGAATGGTGTATAGAATACTTTCTGGTTCACAGCACACGACTGGCAGCTGTTTGTACCTCAGTGAAGGCTGGTAATGAGATTCATTTCAGTTCTGCTTCCCTTACATCCCCCATCCCCTCCCTCCCTTCCCCAAGTTTAGCACTACATACCTTGTGACAAAATTGACCCAGAATGTTCAGTCTTTGTAATTGAAATACTTGGTGTTGGACTTGGGTTTTTATTGACTTGTGCTGGGGACTGAAGTTGCTGTTGCTTGCTATCCCTCTGGTTTTGATTTTGATTTTGAAGCTTTGTCATCCACCTTGTAGGCTGGTGTTTATTGGTGTTGTTCATAATTGCCTTGTACTTGATTTAGTTCATGAATTCTATTTGTTGTGAATGTCTGTATATAGTTTCTTAATTTCAACCTTCCTTTTCAAGTCATTTTAATGTTGAGTTTTCTTCAAAGAGATGAAACTTGAAATACCTGAAAAAATATGGAAATTAAGACACATTTTAAATAATGAGACAGCTTCAGAAAAAAGGACTTGAATTTTTACAGTACACATGTTGAATAATTTATAAGATTAATCAAATTCTTAATAACTTATAAATAAAAGAATAGTACTCAATGTGGAAGGACAGGGTGTATAAAAAGTGAAAGTACCGGGTATGTGCCGGACATTTTCAAAAATAACCCTAAAAGGTACTGAACGTCTTAAGCTTTTAAAAAGGTGGCTGTACAAATTTTAAACCCTGAGAGATACCACACAAAACTAGTCGTGAATGGCTGTTGAAATGTTTTCCGAGTATCATTCTGAGTATTAAGAGCACCTAAAGCCATGCGTGGTTATAAATCACCAAAAAGTGATGGATTCTTCCGTTTTCGAAACACTAAAATATACCAAGAAATGCCAAAATTCTAAATTTATTCCAACACCTTAAAACAGTTCCAGACTTCTTATTCTTATTATTATAATATTYTATTTATATAAAAGTTATGACACGCATACCTGATGCTTTTACCCCGCAGTCACTCTCCCCTCTCCCACCCTCCGATTATTGTTGTTTTGCTTTAATTGTATGTACGATATATAATTTTTAGAGCATCATTTATTATTGACAAACATTAACTTACAGCCCGGAATATATGTGGGAGTGAGGAATGTCAAAAACGACAGTTAAAAAATACCTCTTGTCAAAGTGACTTTAAGGATTAGAAAATAAGACATCAAATTGAATTTTTATCCTAATATTTGATTTCGCTGCTGTTTTTATCAAAACATCCCACACCATCCGGAATGGAATGACCATGGTACATTAAACCCCGTCAAAACACAGGCAACATACTGCGTCTCCTGGTTATAGCAAGGGGTTAATCATCTACTACGGTCTAGGGGCCGACTAACCTCTTCCTTAGGCTTCGGCCGAGCTTTCTGATCAGTCTGTATAAAAATCCTTGGATAGCGGTGTCGGGGTCGAAATCTCCGGTATAGCCGTTAATGCTTTGCACTACCAATGCGCCGCATTGCGTCTGCAAGTATGATCCTAAATTTGTCAATTACTAATCCTTAAAGTTATTTTGTCAGAAGTTTTTTTTAATATCCATGGAAAAGATAACGAAAATTCAAAGAAATACTGTCAGTGACGTCAATGAAAATTAAATCTGCATTACTTTCTACACACACAAAATAAACTTCATGCAAGAAGGCGTTAATTCTAAACACAATAATAAGTTATGCAAATAATTGAAATTCTTTTTCAAAGTATATAGTATATGACTATTGTTTTTGACAAAGATGATGACATAACCATTACTTAGCATATTGAATGAAACTATTAATCTATAGCAACTCGAAATCATCAATTTTCTTAAGGAAAACAAATTAACTAGTTGCTATTTTARGATAGGAAGGTCGAGCGAATTTGTTTCAAAGGACTTGTTTTTAACCTACTCGAGCATGATTTATACGTTATAGCCTACGGGCTAAATTCACGTGACCGTGATCCGTGGTGAAAATTTAAAGAGCAAGAGACGAATATTCATGATGTGAAAGGACTAAACCCTGCATTATTATTCATTGTAATGAACGTTAATTATTCTACAACTTCCTCTCCAAGGAAACTAGAGTTGATTAAGAAGAAACATTAAGTTAACATTCCACGTCAATTTACTCTTCCAGTGGGTAAATAGTTATGAAATTATAAACCCGAAAAACAGTCAAAAATAATCATCATTCATCATCATTATAATTTTATATTTCTCTATATATTTTTCCTTGTCTATTAAATTCATATTTTAGGAAGTATATGTTATATATTTTATACTTATTAAGGTAGACTATTTTGTCAAGAATGGCGCTTTTCAATTACCTTTTTCAGCGACTGGGTTTTCGAGCGCTTTCATTTGAATCGCTTATTTACTGGTGTTTCATTTTGCCTTCGACGAGTTATCCTTTGTTCCATCAGATACTACACCGAGCGTAAACCATTCTTACACATATGAACATCCAGGTTTATAATAACACGCCAATTCTAGACCAGTCCGTTTCAACTTTGAGAGTTATTTTCCCGATACGTTTTCCCGATTTCTTTGTACGCCATCTTGAAGTCTTCGAACAACACTGACGTCTCGTTATACAAATTTTGTGGTATTTTGAACTTCTGATCTAAGTTATAAATATTTGATGCCCTTTTACCTGCTCTATGTTATTCGTTTCTTCCTTTTCGCGTTGCCTCCCCTAACGAATAATTGTGACTCGAATTCTGCTTAGTATATTTGCTGTTTCTTTGTTTTTTCCTCTCTCTAAATAATCCTTATCGTAATTATAATTTTAATATCTATATCAGTAGAAGTTGATTTTGTTTTGCTTTTTTTTGAAAAGAAATAAGCTCCAAAAGCGCGAAGCACGGAAGCGTAACTTGCAGTGCTAATGGTTTTTAAACGGCTAACGCTTTTTTCTGTTGGATTTTTATCTGAACGATTCTTTAACCGCGAGCCCCATTTTAAAGCGCTTTCTCGACCATATGAGTTCATTCGCAATTGAGTTCGCAACCCAAGCAATTGTTCTGATAAGATTTTGATTAATGTTTTCGATAAAATCGTGAGAATCAATGAAGACAATCTGAATAACAAGAAACGAATATTAACAAATATACAAGATTTACCTTGGGTCTTGAATGAAAGAACTCTTGATAACTTGGTGAAACGTTTGACGTTCAATCTCAAATATAAAGCTAAAGATTTTATATTGCTAAATATTYTCTCTGCCTAAACCCATAGCGGAGTTTGTGAACGAATCCAGACTGATGTGTTCATCAGTGAGTTGGTTTTAAAATGTGCTCAATTCATATGCAAATTAATGATCAAAACTATGATCATTCGAGCAAAGAAAAGTCCATAATAACGAGGCGAGCCCACGTCTTATAAAGTACTAGACTAGACACAATAATGCGCATTATGGGAAATGTAAAACTTTTAGAATGTGCATTTGAAAATTGATTTATAGGCTAAAAATGCGCAGTGTGGACCTTAGCTTATAACAATATAAATATTTTTAAATTGTAAGAAGAAGTCAAAATATAAAATGTAGAGCTCACAGCTGCGCGCTCATTGTTATCGCTTCAATAAAACATAATAAAGATTCTACAACTTGTCATGGTTATTATTTTATGAAATTAAGAATTGATGCAGCTTCTGGTGGTTAATTCAGCACTCACAGCCACATTTTGATATTTGCTATGAATGATTAATGTTATGAGTCGGTAAAACGGGTGTATATCGGAAAGCGATTGGTAGTCATTGTCTTTGACTATTCTTTATCTTATCTCTCTCTCTCTCTCACTGTCTCTGGCTCTGTTTCT